GGCAGCAGCAAAGGCACACTAGGGTTTAGGGTTTAGGGTTTAGGGTTTAGGGTTTGGGGCTACCGGCACTGCTGCTTGCCCTGCTCCATGCGGGTGCAAATCCAGTACTTGTTGCTTTTGCAAAAAGCAACTCCTTTGACTTTTTCAGTTGCTGCTGACAGCAGCGCTTGCTGCTGCAGCGCAGCAGCACCCTCGCCAGCAGCAGCAGCTGTTGCTGCTGCTCCTGCTGCAGCGCCTGCGCAACCCTCGCTGCTGCTGCTGCTGCTGCTGCGGCCGTCGCCGTAAAGCTTTTCAAAAGAAAAGAGGCCCCGAGAATAGGGCGAGGCGCTTCGCCCTGAGTTGCTGCCTCCCTCAGCAGTCTCACTGTTGCTGCTGCTGCTGCTGCCGCTGCTGCTGCTGCTGCTGCTAGCTTGCCGTCGCGCTGCTGCTGCATCTGCTGCTTCCATCAAGGCTGTATAGTAAGACTGCATCAGCAGCTCAACGCCAGCAGAGCCTTCGAGGCGTGCAGCAGCATCACCTGCTGCTGCTGCATCTGGATCAGCAGCAGCAGCAGCAGGCGCCTCTGCTGCTGCTGCTGCTGCTGGCGACTCTGCTGCTGCTGCTGCTGCGTCTGCAGCAGCAGCTGCTGCAGCAGACTTGCAAGAGCTCCAGTGTGCTAGAGACTCACAGCTGGCTGGAGGCTCCCGGTCAAAGTACACACGAAAGCCCAAATGCTGCTGCTGCTGCTCTTGCTGCAGCTGCTGCTGCTCCTGCTGCAGTTGCTGCTGCTCTTGCTGCAGTTGCTGCTGCTCTTGCTGCAGTTGCTGCTGCTCCTGCTGCAGCTGTTGCTGCTCTTGCTGCAGTCCCTGCTGGTCTTGCTGCAGTTCCTGCTGCTCTTGCTGCAGCTGCTGCTGCTCCTGCTGCAGCTGCTGCTGCTCTTGCTGCAGTTGTTGCTGCTCTTTCTTCAGCTGCTGCTGATCTTGCTGCAGCTCCTGCTGCTCCTGCTGCAGCTGCTGCTGTTCCTGCTGCAGCTCGTGCCGCTCTTGCTGCAGCTGCTGCTGTCCTTGCTGCAGCTCCTGCTGCTCTTGCTGCAGCTGCTGCTGCTGCCTCCGTGTCCTCTGCCGCTCAGCGCGCGTAGCCGCTATTTCTGAACGCAGTTCCTGCAGTGCAGCAGCAGCAGCAACAGCAGCAGCAGCAATCAGTGCACGTCCTTTCGAGCAATAAACGGAAATAAAATATAAGCAACAAATAACAAATAATAAATAATTAAATATACATAAAATTAAAAAAAATAATTATTAGCAATAATAAAACCAACTGGGAATTAGCAGCGAAGAAAGAGCAGCAGGGCAGTGAGCAGCAGCAGAGGGCAAGAACTATATAAACCCTAAACCCTAAACCCTAAACCCTAAACCCTAGAATAATGAATATAAAAGAAAGCTGCCTACGTCCAAAAAGAGCTCTGCTGCTGCCTTGGCTGCCTGCAGCTGCTGCAGCTGCTGCGCAGCAGCATCTAATTTGCTGCTGAGGCGAACAACTGCAGCACGAAAAACGTCATAGCCGCATGCAAGGGCCTCTCGCAGCTCCGCTGCTGCTGCTGCTGCTGGTGCTGCTGCTGTTGCTGTTGCTGCTGTTGCTGCTCCTGCTGCTGGTTCTGCTGCGGCGGCGCCAGGCGTTGCGGATTCTGCGGGCCCGCTGGCAGCAGCAGCAGCAGCACCTGCTGCAGCTGCTGCTGCTTTTCGCCTCTCTTTTTGTGCTGCGGAATCGCCCAGTCCTACTGCTGCTGCGGAGGCAGTAGCAGCAGCAGCAGCAGCTGCTGCTGCTGCTGCCGCTGCAGCAGCAGCAACAAACGAGATATCGCTCTTGTCCTCGTCCGTCGGTGCTGCTGCTGCTGCTTCGCCTTCGACTGCAGAAGGAGGCAGCTGAACGCACTGCCTTTTGCTGCTGCTTTCTGCTGCTGCTGCTGCTGCTGCTTCTCTAAGTTTGCGCGGCTGCAGCAGCTCCTCCTGAGGCGGCAAAGGGTCCAGCAGCAAATCCAAGCAGCTGCTGCTCAGTGGCAGCAAGCCCCTGCACTCCGCTGCAGCAGCAGCAGAAACGTGTCCTGCTGCTGCTGCTGTTGCTGCTGCTTCTGTTGCTGCTTCTGCTCCTCCTTCTGGACTTGCTGCTTCTGGTGAGACTGCTGCTGCTGTAGCCTGAGGTGGCTCGCTAGTTGCTGCTGAGGCTTCAACTGCAGCAGCAGCAGCAGCAGCAGCTGTTGCTGCTGCTGGAGGGCCTTCCCCAGCTGTTGCTGCTACCGCTGCTGATACTGCTGCTGCTGCATCTCCCCCTGATGCTGCTGCTGCTGCTTGTGTCCATTCTGGTGATTCTGCTGCTTCTGCTGCAGTCCCTGCTGCTGTTGGTGGCTTTTCACTTTCTGCCTTTGCTGCTGTTGCTGCTGAGGCTCCTGTTGCTGCTGCGGATTCTGTTGCTGCAGCAGCAGCAGCAGCAGCGTTGCCAGCGCTCACCCTTTGAGCACTTGGCAGGTCCTCTTCAACTGCTGCTGGCCCACTGCTGCTGCTGCTGCAGTGCTGCTGCTGCAGCCCGTCGCTGGGTGGTAAGTCCATACCGGGCGTTGGGGTGTACGTACAGCGGCGGTTGCATGCAGGCGAAGGCGCGGCGAGTGCAGCAGCAGCAGCAGCAACAGCAGCAGCAGCAGTGTTTGTGCGCCGCAGCGCAGCGGGAGCAGCAGAAGCAGCAGGAGCTGGGGTGTAGGTACACCCGGGATTTAAGCAGCAGCAGTTTGGCCTTGAAAGAAAACAAAGAAAATAAGAAAAGAAAAAGGAAAAGAAGAAAAAGCTGCTTTATTTAGTGGGAAAAAGCAGAAAAATGTAGGGGCGCTCCGCAGCAGCAGCAGCAGCGGCAGCAGCGAAGGCAGTTTAAAAAACAGAAGGAGTGGAAGAAATTGAAATTCCTTTTGCTGCTGCTTTTTGAAATGAATTAAAAAAGAAGAGGAGGAGCTGCTGCAGTGGTTGGGGTGCTGCTGCCCAGGCCGAGCAGCAGCAGCAGCAGCGCAGCAGCAAAAAGGAAGTCTAGGGCCTCCTAAATAGATCAAAAGAATTGCAAATTAAAAACAACTTCCAAATTTATTTTATTTCGCCACTTTTTCTTTTTTGGAACTAATCGGCGCGTCGGACTCCGCCGCCTGCTTGAGCTGTCTGTACACCCGAAACCGACATGCGCATTTCTGCTGCGGGCCCCAGCGGCAAATGAGACCATTTTCTTTTTCTTTTCTTGTTTTTATTCCCCAAAACTCAATTAAAACTCATTTTCTTTTCATTTGTTCCGAATTTAAACTTTAATTTCCAGATTTAACTCAACTTTCCCCCCCCGGCGCGCAGCCGCCTCGATTCTGCTGCGCCTCTCGTTTTTTCTCCTTCAGCGCCTTTCCCTGCTTCTCAAAACTCCCAAGAGCGGCAGCAGCAGCACAAGCAGCAGCAGCAGCAACGGCGCAACCAGCAGCAGCAGCCGCACAACCAGCAGCAGCAACGACGCAAACGGCACCCGGGGCTGCAGCTGCAGCAGGAGGGCAGGCAGCAGCAGCAGAGCCTGCAGCAGCACGGCGCCAGAAGTGGCAGCAGGAGAGGCAGCAGCAGCACAGCCAGGCGCAGCAGCAAAAGCGGCAGGAGCAGCAGCGCGCGCCGCTGCTGCTGCTGCTGTGCAGCTGAAGCAGCAAGAAGCCCTGCAGCACTTGCTGCAGCAGCTTTTGAAGCAAAATGGATCAAAGCGAAGATGCAGCAGCAAAAAAAACTCCAAAAGAAGAAATTGCTGTCTTCGTGCAGCTGCTGCTGAAGATGCGGGTGAGGCCTTCAGGTGTACAGACACCTCGGAGGCCTTCGGGTGTACAGGCAGCAGTGGGGCCTCCAGGTGTATAGGCCGCTTCAGGTGTATAGGCAGCTTTAGGTGTATAGGCAGCTCCAGGTGTACAGGCAGCTTCAGGCGTACAGGCAGCTTCAGGTGTATAGGCAGCTCCAGGTGTATAGGCAGCTCTGCGGCCTTCACGTGTATAGGCAGCTGTGGGGCCTTCAGGTGTATAGGCAGCTTCAGGTGTATAGGCAGCTGTGGGGTTTTCAGGTGTATAGGCAGCTTCGGGTGTATAGGCAGCTTCGGTGTATAGGCAGCTCTGAGGGAGAGCGAAGCGGGAATGGCGTTTTGTCTGTCACAAAATAATCAAAAGATCTAATTAAATAAAATGAAATTATAATTAATTAATTAATTAATTAATTAATTAATTAGTCCCAAAGGTTTTTTTTGCTGCTGCTGCAGAGCCTCCGCGCTGCCGACGCCGCAGCCGTCCTTGCTGCTCTCAGGGGCGACTCCAGCAGCAGCAGCGGCAGCAGCAGCAGCAGCAGCAGCAGCAGCAGCAGCAGCCTGAACAGCTTTATTGCCGAGTGCAACGCAGCGCTTCGCGGGAGCGGCGTGCAGATTCATGTAAGGCCTTTTGATCAAAAAGAAATAAACTTTTAATTTTAAATTTAAAATGAAAAATAAAACTTAAAAACGTTTTTTTATTTTTTAATTAAACATTTTCGAGTTAAAAAGGAAACTCTCATAAGGCCTCATGCAAGCAGCAGCAGACGCAGAAGCTGGCACAGCAGAGACGGCTCCCACTGCAGCAGCAGCAGCAACAGCAGCAACAGCAGCAGCAGCAACAGCAACAGCAGCAGCAGCAGCAGCAGCTTCAAGAGCTGCTGCTGGCGTTAGGTCGCGCCTGCGCGTCCTGTTGATGGATTGTGTAGTGTTTTGTTTCGTTTAATTATTGTAATTACTTCAATATTTAAATTATTTAAATTATTTAAATTATTTAAGTTATTTAAATTATTTAAATTGTTTTAATTGTTTATTGTTTGTATTGTTACTATTTGCTGCTGCTGCTGCTGCTGCAGTCCGGGTTTGACGGCCAGGGGGTTTCGCTGTGCCTGAGCGCAGCGGATTTGTTTTGTTTTTTTGGCGGAGAAAACGACAAAAGCGGCGAAATAAACATTAAAACTAAAAATAAAAACAATAATAAAGGAAAAGAAATGGAAAATTATACTTTTAATGCCACTTTGGCCAAATCTCTCAACAAGTTCTTCCAGATGGAATCCGCCGAAGCTGCCTGTACAGCTGGTGAGGCTGGGGTGTACGTACATCCCCAAAACGCCGTTTTGCGCATTTTCGCATTTTCTCCTTTCATTTCTTTTCTTTCTTTTTCTTTTCCTCTAAAAACTCAAATTTAAGTCTCAGCTTTTCATTTTAATCCTTTTTGTTTTCTCCGGGAGCTGGAATCTCATATTTTTCGCTATTTGCATTTTTATTCCATTTTTTTGGATTTTTGAATTTTTTGAATTTTTATTTTGCTGCTGCTGCTGCTGCTGCGCTGCAGCTGTTCTGCAGAAGATAATGGAGGCTCGTGAGCAGCAGATTTCCCTTCGAATTTAAAAGTTTCAAAAAGCCCCTTTTGGGGCTGCATGCGTTTTGAGTGCTGCTGCATGCGTTTCAAGCGCTGCATGCGCCGTTCGAAGGCCGCATGCACTCTTGGGGCTGCATGCACGCCCCCCCGCATGCATTCTGGGCTGCATGCGCTTCCAAGGCGCTGCATGCGTCTGGGGCTGCATGCGTTTTGGGGCTGCATGCGCTCGAACAGGCAGCAGCATTTCTTTGCCGGAATTTGTCGAAGTTTGCGCTGCCCACAAAATCGCCGCAGTCCCCCGTCTTTGTGCGTTTGGCCAAAAAGGATTTTTCGAAGTCCAGTTGAAGTATTTTGAAGATACTTCAACTGGACTTCAAAAGGAAATAAAAGGCAATTAATTGAATAAAAAAGATATTTAATTAAATTAATTGTCTTCAAATGAAAAAGGAATTTATTTCGTCCAAAAAGTCCAAAAGACGGCTTCAAATGGACTTCTAGAAGCTTCAATTGAGCCAATAATAATAACTTGTTGAAACTAATAATTATAATTAATTAATTTTTATAATTAAATAGTTAATAATTATAAATAATAAAAGTTATAATTGAGTAATTAATAAGCATACACTATTTATAATGAGGGGTTTAGGGTTTAGGGTTTAGGGTTTAGGGTTTAGGGTTTAGGGTTTAGGGTTTAGGGTTTAGGGTTTCTTCTGCGTATGACTCCCTCTGTGGCTGTATCCCCAGCAGCAAACCCTAAAGACAAAAAGCTGTTAAACACATTTATGATTTATTAATTAATTATTTATTTATTTATTTATTTATTTATTATTTATCATTTATTTATTATTTATTCATTTATTTTGTTTTCAGTGCGGAAGCTGCTGCAGCTGCAGTGGCTGCAGCCAGAGCCAATTCGGTCTCAGCCGCAAAAACGGAATTTGACATTAGGCTCTTGTTTTTATTTGGTTTGTTTTTTTTATTTTTTGTTTTTATTCTTTTCTTTTGCTTCTTTTATTTTCTTTTTGCTTCTCTTTGTTTGTTTTTGCTTCTTCTTTGCTGTTTCTCTTGATGGTCGTGGGTGGCTCCTTTCTGCTGCTGCTACTGCTGCTGCTGCTGCTGGTGGTGTCTTTGGCTGCTGCTGGTGTCTTTGGCTGCTGCTGGTGTCTTTGGCTGCTGCTGGTGTCTTTGGCTGCTGCTGGTGTCTTTAGCTGCTGCTGCTGCAGGTGTCTTTATCTGCTGCTGTTGCTTCTGCAGGTGCTTGCTGCTGTTGCTGCTGCTTCGCAGCTGCTGCAGTTCTTTCTGCTGCAACTGCGTCTAGCTGCTGCTGCTGCTGCTGCTGCATTTGTCCTGAGTTGCTACTGCTGCTACTGCAGTTGTCATTATAGCTGCTGCTGCTGCTGCTGCTGCTGCTGTGTGCAGCAGCTGCTCCCTCTTCTGGACACGGATTCGGCAGCAAAGTGTTCTATTTGTTCTTTTCCTGTTTTTGTCGGAGTAAGTTCTTTTAAAAACTGAAATAAATAAATAAAATAGATTAATTAATTAAATGCCACTTAAATTAACAAAAAATCGCCAATTTTAAATAGCTGAACGTCTGCATGCGAATCTGAGGTGTACGTACACCTGAACTTCCCCCGCACTGCGCCCTTGCCAGAAACTTTCGGATTTATTTTTTCATTTATTTGCAGCAAAGCGCATGAATAAATAAAGGAAATGTAAATAATAATTAAATTATTTAAATTTATTTATTTTATTTATTTTATTTTTGCATTCTTTGCTCATTAAAAACTAAATTGCCACTATATCTCCTCTAGCCCGTCAGGTGTGCGTACACCTTAACGCTGTCCTCGTGCGGCTACTGGCATTCCATATACACATGAAGTGCTGCTGCTGCTGCTGCTGCTCTTGCTGCTGCTGCTGCTATTGCTGCTGCTGCTGCTGCTGCTGCAGTTTGTGCGCTGCAGCCGCTGCGGCGCTGAGAGCCACCGGGATTGTTTATTGGGCCTTTCTGGGGCGGCGAGTGCGGAGTGTTTAAATTGCAAATAAAAAATAAATAAATAAATAAATAAATAAATAGATTTATTTGTTTATTATTATTTAATAGTATTAATAGGAATTAAATTGAAATTATTTATTTCTTTTGTTTTCCTTTTTTTGCTTCGCCCGAAGCACCGCAGCGCGAAAAGTTCGTGGCCCGGCCCTCCTTTATAGAGTTTTTGAACTTTTTATTTATTCATTTGTTTTATTATTTGTTTACTATTTATTTATTTATTATTTATTTATTGTTCACTTAATTAGGGTTTAGGGTTTAGGGTTTAGGGTTTGGGGTTTGGAGTTGTTCCTGGGCAGCAGCAGCGGCGAGTATATTCTCTCTGGCTTTCTGCTTAGGCGGAGAGACAAAAATCCAATTTGAACAGAAACCCTTAACACTCATTTGCGAAGTAAACAAGGGTTTAGGGTTTAGGGTTTAGGGTTTAGTTTTGGCGGCTTTGAGAGGACCAAATAAGGGACAAATAGATAATGCAAAATGACTGCAATTGAGACATTTATTTATTTATCTGTTTATTTTATTTATGAGCCTTTTAAAAGAAATTTGAGCTGCTGCTGCAGAGACACTTGGGGTGTATGTACACCCCAAGTGACTCGAGAAGCTGTACGCGTTAACTCGGGGTGTACGTACACCCCAAGTTGACGCGTGCAGCTTTTCAAGTCTTCTTTTGGCACTTTATTTGCCGGTGTGTTTTACTTGAAAAGAATTAAATGCTTAATTATTTATAGTTGAAGACTTTTCGGAAGAAAGATGCATGCAAGTGTTTGATTTAATTCAACTTTCTGGATTTCAAGTATCTGTTCTTCTGCTCCGTGCACTGCTGGAGGGTCTGCGCGGGTCTAAATGCTCCTTATGAACCACTTTTTTCATTTAATTTAATTTAATTTTATTTATTTCATTTTCAATTTTACTTTTATCTTTATTTGGAGCTTTACTTCAATTTTTCCGGCGCTGCTCTGTCTCGATGGCAGCGGCGGCAGCGGCGCGGGGGAGTGCGGGAAGGAGAAACAGGGGAAAGCTGGAGTAAAAGTGGAATACAAGTGGAAAATAAAAGAGAAATAAATAAATTTGTTTACTTTTAATTTATTTATTTATTTATTTGTGCATTTGGAGGCTCGCTGATCATAAAATTCTCAACGCAGAAGCGGAGACGAAGCTGCGGGCGGAGGTGTAGTGACACCGCAGCAGAAACGCGCGGTAGACGGTCGAAAAGGAAAAAGAAAAGAAATAAAATAAAACATTTATTATTTATTTTAATTTGCTTCTCATTTGCAACAAAACAAACAACAAAAGAGCCTCTGCTGCTTCGTCTCTGTCTCCCTTGCGCGGCTGCTGCACAGAAACCGCCGCTGCTGCTGTTGAGGTGTACATACACCCGAATTTGTCTTCTTTTTCGCCCCCGCTCTTCTCTTTGATTGTTTTTATCTCTTCATCTTTTTGCATTTCCTTCTCTCCCCCTTCCATCCCAGCAGCAGCAGCAGCAGCAGAAGCATTTGCTGCAGCAGCAGCAGCAGCAGCAGCAGCTCGACGCGAAGAAGAGCAAGACCAGCAAAGCCCGGTGTACATACACCTCAGCATTTCCAACCAGTTTATTTAAATCCCATTTTATCTATTATTTATTATTTCATTTCTCCGGCTTCTTGAGAAGTGTGCAGCTCCCGCTGCTGCTGCTGCTGCTGCTGCCGCTGCTGTCCCTCTGTCTCCTTGCTTTCCTCTATTTGTTTATTTCCTTTTATTTTATTTTTAATTTTCTTCTTTTCAAATTCCGCACTCTTCAATTTATTTCGGCTTTTCCTTTTTCTTCTTCCCGCTGCTGCTGCTGCTGCTGCTGCTGCCGATTTGCTGCTGCTGCAGTTTCATTTATTGACTCCAACTGGTTATTATTATTAATTCATTTGTCTATTTTATTCATTATTCTTTCAAGTTATTGTTTGTTGCCATTTGTTCATTATTTGCTGCTGCTGCTGCCTGCTGCTGCTGCTGCTGCTCCTGCTACCTGCTGCTGCTGAGCTTTTTGCTTCCTCAGCAGCAGCGCTTTTGCCATTAATTGTAATTCGTTTTTTAATTATTCTTGTTCCCTTTTTTGCTGCGTTTGCTGTTGCTGCTGCCGTTGCTGCTGCTGTTTCTGCCGCTGCTGCTGTTGCTGCTGCTTTTGCTGCTATTCTGGCTGCTGCTGTTGCTGCTGCTGCTGCTGATGCTTTTGCTGCTGCAGCAAATGAACTCTTACGGCTATGGGGCCTCCAAGTGAAGCCGCCGCCTTGGCGCCGACTGTGAGGCTTAAGGACTTTAATTGAAACAAAACAAATAAAAATAATTAATTTAATTTAATTTAATTTAATTAATTTTATTAAATTAATTAAATTAATTAAAATAAAATAAATCAAATTAATTAATTCAATTATGGGTTTTTTGTGCTTCTGCGGATCCCGCGTTTGAGCCCTGCTGCTGCTGCCCGGGCTTCCAGCAGCAGCAGCAGCAGTGCTGCGCCTGCTGCTGCTGCTGGTCCAACCGTTGCTGCTTCTTTGGTGCTGCTGCTGCTCCTACCG